ATAATGCCATCAGCACAATCTTCCTCAAAAACTCAACTGTGTGGGTGTGTGAATTTGCAGCATGCAACCTGCACAGCCAAGCGAGCACTGATTTCAGTTCCAGCCTCCCCTGCCCTGCTGTACACTCATGGGGGTTCAGAAGGATTTCCCACCCTTTGTTTTCTTCTGAAATCAAACACAGAAGTTCATGATTGCTGACCTGATGGGCGAGGAGTGGGTACTACCAGCTGGAACATTGCCACTGGCAGGGGCAGACAAGAAAACAGGAATGCTCTTAATGTCCTCCCAAAGAAAACCTTTGATGGACAAAAGAGTGGTTGTATTTTTACCCTCTCCCTTCATGCTGCCAGGCGTCTTTAAATAGATCCTCTAGCCTAGGGACTTGTATGGAATAATTCATATTAAAACCCAAGAAGTGGCAGAGGAGGGGAGTTGGTTCTTTCTTCTCTTTCTTTTCTCTCTCTCTTTCTTTCCTTTTTCTTCTTGTCAAACTAACAGGGAAAGACTCATTTTAATTCAGCTGTGTTAAGTTTTTCCTTTTGGGTCTTTTAATGAACTTTAGCTAATTTGGAAAAGACAATCAAAGCCCCCAGGGAATAAAAAAGGAATAGGAAGCCGCCTCATAGCTTGCTCTTTAATACCTTTTGGTCCCAAAGACATTAGCAGCATCTTTTAAGGATGCTGCATAGAGAGGTTTACAGGAGGCTCTTAAATGGGAATCTCTAATTGAGAGGTCCACTTCTTTCCATATGTGACTCATCAACCAAACTGTTGTTCTGCTGTTAGGAGAAAGAAAAAAAAGTCCCTCCCCATCTCCAACGCCCCATACATTTTTAGTTGGGCTCAACTCAGGATCTATTTCCCCCACTCCCTTTCACCAAATGAGTTTCATAAAGACACCCAGGCCTGTGCTAGGCAAATTAAAAGTCCTGTCTCTCCTTTTTGTTTGAGGAGGGAGGGATGTGGGAAGGACAGACAAGGAAAGGGGGCAGGGCCCAAGGATCCAGAGAGCTTTGTTTCAAGTCACTTGTCTCTCACCCCACCTCCTGAAACAGAGAATAACCGCATTTCTCTTAATGTAGGCCGAAGTGCATCCAGGCATTCCCATAGCGCTCCCACCCCCAGGCCTTTGCCGGAGATGTTCGGGTCACTGTGATGGTATGCTCATTCCTGCCAACCCGGTCACTCCAGCCCTGCTCTCCGCAGCCCAAAGGGCAGCCGAGCCATGTGGCTGCTCCTCTCTGTGAGTGGGTTCAGGCTCAGGGCTACAAAAAGACCCCCGATCCTATCAGCCAGGCAGAGCTGGTGCCAAGAATGACATCCTGGGAATACTATGGAGATGAGGAGACCTCATGGGTCGTTCTCCCCGGATGGAACAGGACCCAGGCTGTCTGGAAAACAGGCAGAGCAAAGAGCCAGCTCACAATAGAAGGAGCTCAGGCGAAGGGAAAAGGGGGCGGGCTGGGAGCAGTGGTGAGCAAAAGAAAAGAAAAGCCACATGCCACCCAGGAAGATTCCAGGGCCAGCAGGAGGAGGTGGTGGAGGAAGGACTTGCAGGAAACAAGTACCCAGACATGGCACTGCCAGTCTAGCTGGATTCTTTTCTGAATTAGATTATGCGAAAGAAAGAGAGGAAATATATAGCCGGCCAGCTGTTCAAAGGCTTACAACCTTGCTTTTATTGTCCGGGTAAGTTGGTGAGGTGGGGCATCAGAGGAATTCCAAACATACCATCTCAGAGAAATTTTAATATGTTCCACAGTGTCATACACGAAGAGGAAATGACAGCTGATCACAGCCAGGGCAGGCCACAGCAATCCAGGCCCTGGAGCTCACCCACCCTCCCAGGGCCCTGCTTCCCCTTCTGCCTTAGCACTTCTCAGTCTTTCCACCTGCCTTCCCATCCCCTCTGCTTCCGCTGGCTGCTGGCCTAACGGAGAGGGCCTGGACAAAGCAGCTTTGACTGACTGTCATGGGAAGAGGTGAGGATGGGCTTGAAGGCCGCTGGCCAAGAAGCTGAGGGCTGACTAGGGTGAGTCAGGCACCCCAGGGAGTCAGAGGCATTTTTATCCAACCACGAGGGATTATCTGCTGATAAGGACCAAGTCAAAGACCCTGATGATGCTGTCTTCAGGGTTTTTCCCAGTAACCTTACCATGTGATAAAACACCATACTGGGTTATTTGAAAGCAACCTTACCATGTGATAAAGCACCATACTGGGTTATTTGAAAGCAACTGTGTGTGGCTCTGACAGAGACCTGGGTTTGGGGAACAGCTTCCAGCAGCTTCTTCACAAGGGCCTCCTGAACTGAGGCCAGGCCCAGAGGTTTCAATCCTGGGGATAGGGCAAGTGAGTTGTGGGAGCCGGTGGCTGCATCTTCCTCCATGCATGTTTCTAATTCAGTGACTCATCAAGCGGCCCTGATGTCAGCTGCTGAATAGGTGACTCACACTCATCCCCGATGGAGACAGCACATGGTCCTTTCCAAAGGGTGCTAAGGCGAGCAAAGAAAGGATAAGCTGCTCTTTTTTCCAGGTTTCTTCTACCTAGGCTGGAAACATCCAGGCTCTGTTAGCTGTGCAAGTGATGTGTACCCAGAATCTGGCAACAACAACAAAACACCCTAAGGGGAACGACTTAATCATCAATGAAAAGAAAACCATTGAATGAAAATCATTTCAAGTAAATCTGGAAACTAGCAACTATTTAAAATGGTTCTTTATAACAAGAAACTCACTGCCCAGTTTATCCACTGGCAACACCCATTTCAGTTCCAAAAATCTAACTGGAGTTAGCATACAGACTGAGAATTAGGGTGTGGGACAATGTCTCATTTACCTTCGCATCCATCAGGACTAGCATAGTGCCAGGTATATAGAAATGCTTGATAAATATGTATTAGAGAATGATGGAATGAATAATCAACCAGTAAGAATAATAGTCCTTGAATTGTGAGTTCTTAAAATATAGTAAAAATTGCTGGCCACCATTGGTGGCTATAATTCCAAGAAACTCACCACATTTTTCAAGGCCCCAGGAAAATAAATGAGTTGGAAATTGTTAAATGTATTGAAAAATGATTTATTTTTCCCTTGACAGTGTCACTGGAACTCGAATTAAGATTGAAAACTCCACAGGCACATTTCCATCTGTGGGTGTCAGCTGCTTGGTACACAGTCGTTAGAAGGCCTCAGCCAGTTCTCCCATTACCTGAACCAAATGTATTTTAAAATAAATGATGCAAAAACATTGTATTTTGTGTTCAAATACTCTCGTGCAATGATCTGAATAATAGCTTAAGAAAATCGTTTTGATTTGGCTAAATGCTTTACTAGTAGCAATTTTAATTTTTTTAAAATTCAGAGTAAAATTTTATAGCAATAGAATCCATAGCAACTTTTACAGGTTTTCTTGAATAATGAGTATTCCAAAGTTGTAAATTAACTCACTCAAATGTCAGATTTTCATTCAACAATGCTTGTTAGGCTAGTGATTAGAGGAAATCAGAAAAAGTTTCCCACATATGATGTCCTGGTCTGTAATGAAAACAGGTCAACAAGATACTAAAGTTACTTGTAGAAGCAAGACTGATGAGAAGAAAATGAACAGATATTTGCATCTGGTCTAAACGTTCAGTTGAGAGGCGTTCTGCAGTCCTGACTAGATGTGGTTGACATCCACAACCCACTCTGTTTGGGGCACGTCTGTGCTTTCAAATACACCTGGTATCTAATGTTATGTGTTGGAGCAGTTTGCCAATGCCAGCTCTTTGTAATTAAAATAAACTAATATTAGAAATGAAAAGAGGCATGTTTCACAGCAGCCATATCTGTTATTAATGACAGTTACAAAGGGCTGTACGTGGGACTCCCATCTTGCCAAACAGCTTCTTTTCTTGCACCTGAATCTCAGTAGAGATGGGAGTCTGCCTCTTTCATGGAGGCTTATCTGGGTTTGTCCATTACAATGAGCCTCAGTTTCTGGGCGTTCTGAGTCATTAACATTCTGTACACAATCAAACTTCCCGTCCCCCAAGAAAGAATTATGCTCAGGCCTCCTACAGCTCAATTGTTCATTTAAAGAGAGAACTTGAATTCAGCAGTTTGAAAGAAATCCTCCGAATATTCCTCAGGTATCTGTAGGAGTCATTCCTACAGGTCCTGGTCCCTGTGCTGGTGGGAGCATCCTTTCCCAGTCACTCCTTGGACATCGTGCTGCAGGGACGAGCTGACGACTAAAAATAACCCCCTGCAATAAGTCCAAGGCAAACAGCATGTATTTCCTCAGACTTTTTGCCCAATGAAAATCATACAGTAAACCCATCCTCATCTCTCCCCGGTGTTCCCGACTGCATCTATGGAAGCGAAGTCCTGCACGTTGGGAGAAGAGTGCAAAAGAGCATAATTCCTGCAAAGCGTGACACAGAAAGCTAGAAGTAAATGTTGCCTATTGTTTGAAGTCATTCTGAGCACTCCGGCAGAGCCCTGGCAGGAGATCAGCAGCATACATAAGTAGTAATAAAAGTAAACAGTGCGCTTTTAAACTCGCAGGCTTGCCTGGGATCATAGTGCCCCCATTGTAAGTGGGATGAGGGTGGTGGGGAAGATACTGGGCTCCGTGAATCCATGTTGACGAGTTGCGGCTTCGCAGCCCCCCTTTCACAGGGACAACTATAAGAACCATCACAAAGTTACATCTAACTACGCAGAGAGTTAGAGAAGAAAATCTCTTTAAGTCAAACCAAAAGATATTTTCGAGCTTCTCTGGGAGGCTCCCTGTTCTGTCACAGACTTTAAAGACCCGTTCATTTAAACACACACACACACACACACACACACACACACAATGCTAACATGCTACAGATTAATGCAAATTACAGTAATGCAAATTTAAGTGGTATTTAAAGGTTGTCTCTTTGTCTGAGAGGAGGATGAAATGCTCGGTTTGGAAAGAAGCGATTTCCTAGGCAAGCCGGCAGCGCTTGTTTTCCTGCTTACCTTGGGGGAAACGCAGGGCTCCTTTCTTCTCAGACTTTTCTGAGAGCTAGAAAGAGGTCCTGTTACTTCCAAATGCTTTTGTTCTTCTGTCCCTCTGTCACATGGCTTGCCTTTTATATTTGCAACACACAAAAGTTAGGACTGTTGTTTAAGCGACACAGGGAGAGAGAGAGGGAGAAAGAGAGAGAGAGAGAGAGAGAGGGAGAGAGAGAGAGAATGTCAAATGGAAAAGTGCCATTGCAGTCATATATCAATCAGGCGTGCGGCCGCGGCAGCGCACTAGCAAATGGGAATGCCACGGAAATGTGAGGCGCTCGTTATCGGGACTCAGTCGCTGCCCACCGCTCGGCTCCCTTCCACGGAGCATCTCACGATGAGAACAGCGTGGAAGAACAAGGGATGGGAAGTTTCTTTCTTTCTCTTTTCAAATGGTATTATGGAAATAGTAAGAGGCCAAGTGAATATTCTGAATGCAATTCTTTTGCAAGTATGTGGCTGCCATAAAGATGTGCTGTCCTCAATAGAGATGCATAGTTTGGGAAATACAAAGACAGAGTGGCATGCCGTTGAACGATTCAGTCGGCAGCTGACTGGGATGAAGTTGAAATTCGAAGTAAGAGAGGAGGAAGACAGGGATCCGAAATCTTTCTCAGGCGATGCTGTGAAAGCAAGTGCAAAACGCTGCCCTATTTTATCACGATGTGTGTAGGTGGTGAGAGTTCTTTTTTTTCCGAGTTGTTCAGCCATTAAATGATTTTTAGCAGCATGTACATGATTAAACCCACAATGGCACTTTAATAAGCGCCTTCATCTGCATCGTTTAGAATAAAACTTTAGATCTGATTTCGAAACAATGAGACTGTGTAGTTCTGACTCCTTGAGTTATATGCAGGTGGGACTAACAGGTAAGGCCAACCCATCACACCACAACAAAGGTAACTATGTGTGGGTTAAGTACCTGCAGCTGAATAATGCTGCGCTATGAGCTGTGGGACTACAAAGGGAAATATTTCACAATTCTTGTCCTTTAAAAGCTTAAAAATAAGGCAGGAAGTTGTCAGAAATTTTGGTGGAAAATGTGAAGAACCATTTTTAATTTTTTAATGGCAGGTAGACGCAGCCCAGAATAATTTGTTTTATTAACACTGATGAAAAATTGAACTGAGATTATTTTTGTAAAAAACAATATTTCATGGAAAGGTAAATATATCATAAAACTTCAGAGGAAATTTTTCCTGGGAGCTTCATATAGTTGTTGATGCGGAAACTGTCACGTTCAACTGTATCAAACCATTTATTATTCATTAATAAATTTACAATCACATTATCACTTTTCCATAGAAACTTTACTGATGTTTACAAGTGGTATCTTAAAATTTTCCATCTCACCCTTTTGTTAATAAGTCCCTTTTCTTTTACTCCACCTGGGGAAAACAAACAAGCAACAACCAGCCAGTCACAAATAGAATTCACCTGAGAAGATAAAGAATAAATGACAAGCTCAAAGCCTTGAAACAAAACCTGGCCCTTGGCTGATGGTGATATTGGCTACATGTCTTAAAAGCAGAAGATCAAAAAGCAAATGGAAATTGGGCCTTAAAACTGGAAATAATCTGAAAGGGGAAATGACTTGTAGCTGAGTAAGAGCCATGGAAACAGTCAGGAATACATTTTCTGGCTCAATTTTGTGGGTCAGATTGGAAGAAAGAATAAACTCTTTGGCCACCAACATTTTTGAATATCAGAGCTTGACATTCATCCACCTTTTCATTTCTCTTAGAAATAATCTGTGACTTTCTCAACATATACTTGCTACTCCACCCTGCCATCTTTCGCCTTCAGGTTGTCAGGGTCACGCTATCTGCTGTGAAAGCAACATGAAAAGGTGCGGTTCCTGGGCGGAATTTTCCAGCCTTCTACTATCTGCCCTTCTGAAAGAGCACCACAGAAAGTGTAAAGATTGCAAACACATTGACTGCTTGGCCGCAGGAGACAAGCTCTCTCCCAGATGGAGCCCCACTGCTTCCTCCAGCCGTTATTCTGTCAGGGGTGGCGAAGAATACCATCTGCTGCCCCATTCAAGAGGGAGGCTTTGCCTCCGCCCATTGGGCTCCAGAGGACCCGTTTCTAAGCCCGTCAATAGGTATCTGGCAACAACAACTCTTTTCATCACATCACCATGCTTTTTAGAAAGGTCACTGTGCCACGTGTGATCTCTTTACTGGCCGTCATTAACATTGCTAAGAAGGGTTCCCTTTAACTTTACATCTATGCCAAAGATTTTTTTTAAAAAGACCCCTGCGGTTATTTCACATGCACTCAGGGTGGAAAGGGTTTGCAGAAGGAGATGTCTATCAGCTGGCTGGGAAATGCTTCAAGGGATCACTTCTGAGCCTTTTATTTCTGATACTGTTTTCAGGCCCCGTCTCTCTTTCTTGGTAGCTCTAGTGGATATTTACAGGAGTCACTTAGCATCCAAACACCCCTGGGGGAATGGGTAATCCCAAAGCAAGTGGGAGACAGCACCTGCCTTCTTGTTGCTGAACTTGAAGAAGCAGGTGTCTCCTTTCCCCTCTTCAGGGCAGCTGGTTTACCAGGTGAGCTGTTGGGAGGAGTGACAAAGACATGCAGACATTCAGAGATTATTCCCTCTGTGGTCCCACTGGAGTTGGGAGCCCAGAGGTTACAGCAGCCAGTGTCAGGGGCAACAGAGTCAGCAATGTAACTGTGGGTATCTTGGGGACACAGGGCCTCTGACGATATCATTAGCAGTCTGTTCTCTTTGGCTGCATCCTTGTTCACCATTTTATGAGCCTGGAGCTCCAGCTTTCCCGGTGATTCTATGAACTGCACCCCATCCCCACCCCTGCCAAGATCCTGCCAATAAATTCCTTTCTCCTTTAATTAGCTAGAGACAGTTTTTGAGGTTGGAAACCAAGAGTCTTGACCCGAACACTACATTTTCCAAATTTAGGCAAACTAACATCATTAACATACTAATGGAAACACAGCCTCCACTTCCTCCTAGTTACTTCCCCCCAAAAGTAAATGGTTTCAGATTCATTGTCAGTCTGCTATGGTCTCTGCTATAACATTCCTGTGTGGGTGCATAATAGGATCCACAATGTATGTGCGTGTGTACAATCCCAACATACCAGCGTAACCTACTAGGCACAGTTTACAATGATCTGTGAGAATGCTAATCTTAGTTGTCCTCATGAATAGGATAGTATTCATTCTTCCAAAAATACTTGCTAATAGTAACTACTTAATGGATGTTTATTCTCTGCTGGGCACTGTACCAAATATTCTACATACATTACCTCTTTCAGAAAGATATACAGCAACTCTATGAGGTAAATGCCATTATAGCCACTATTGTATAAATGGAGAACCTGAGTGCCTGAGAAGTTAGGTGACTTGCCTGTGGTTGACACAGCAAGCAAATGGCAGATGTGAACTATGACTTTTCTGTCTCCAAAGATTATGGCTTAACTACTATGCCACGCTGCCTCCATGCAACAGAAATTCCTTGAGCAGTGCCTACATTGTAATACTCTGCCCATTGGGCTCCAGAGGACCCGTTTCTAAGCCAGTGTTTATGATGCTGTAGGGAAGAAAGAATGCTTGCTTATGAAGACACTGCAAGGTAGAATGTGATCAACGCCACACACACAAAAAAAGGTAGCATAAGAGGAAGTAGCACAACCAAGAGAACTCTATGGGTCTGGGTTTTGAAGACACAGAATGGGAATCAGAGGACCAAGGTGATTGCAGCCAGATATTTTGGCTGGACCTAAATTTATGCTACAATGAGCCAGGAAGATGTGATGAACAGAGTGCAGCCAGGTCAGGGAGCTGGGGCCAAATAGGATTAAAAAGGAGAGGATAGAGTGGCAAGTCAGACTGAGACATAGGGGAGCTTATGTAAGTGGAAGAAGGAGACAGAAGCAAAGGAGCAAAGATAAGCAGCATGGCAGCAGTGTGAGCAGGTACTTTCGTTCACCATGGCTTCATCCAACAAGCATTCTTTTATGAAAAGAACTGTTTTTCAAAAAACACGATCATTTAAAAGTCATTGTCAGCCGGGCTTGGTGGCTCAGCCTTTAATCCCGTGCCTTTGGGAGGCTGAGATGAGTGGATTGCCTGAGCCTGTGGGTTCGAGATCCTCCTGGGCAACTTGGCGAGACCTCATCTCTACAATAAATCAAAAAATTAGCCGGGCGTGGTAACCGGCCACCGCACTCCAGTATGGGCGACAGAGTGGACTCAACTCAAAAAAATAAAATAAAATAAAATAAAAGTCACTGTCACAAAGCCATAGTAAATAACTTGAAATAAACCTTGAAATACTGGAAAAAAAATTATTTGAGTGCCTCCTAACTGCCTGATGCTGTTTTCATCCTAGGGACTTTGGCATTGGATAAGGCAGGCAAAATTTCTGTGGATATAGTGGAAGAATATGTCAGTAAGGACACATTAACGACAAATAACAAAAACCTTGAGTATCACAGCTTAAAGCATAAGGACATTTATGGTGCTCACTCAGAAAGTGGGCAGTTCTAGGGTTGGTATAGTGACTCCAAGGTATCATTAAAAAACCCCAAACTCCTTCCACTTCCATCACACTCAACATTGTTGACTTCTGTTCTCCTCTGGCAGGTCAATTCATGGCTACAAGATGGTTGGTGGAACTCTAGAAATCACATTGAAATTCAGAAGTCAAGAGAAGAAGAGAGAAGAATATGCTCTTTGCTTCTTCATTAAGGAGGGAAATCTTTCCAGAAACCTCAAAGCCTTACATTCCACTGATCAGAACCTGACCACCACACCCAGCCCAACGGTGATCTCTGCAAGGGGGAAGCACAGTTGCTATCACTGGGTTGACCAATCACGGTCCATGCCTTGGGGCTGGGTGCATAGCGAATTAAACATAGCCTAGATTCCCTTAGCGATGAAAGAGAATGAATGGCAGTTGGGTAGATAACCAGTAGCATCTGCCACCGTGAGAGAGACAATATATATACAAGGTAAAGTCAGAGTGACAAATGCTAATGAGGAAAATAAAACAGTGATGATATAGAGAATAACGAAGGTAGTACAGGAAACAGAAAACAGAGTGAGTTAATAGGGTGATTAGAGTCAGTCTCTCTAAGGAGGCGACATCTGCATGTAAGTGCTAAGAACAAGCTTGGTAAACAGAAATGCTGGGATGGCTTAAACAGACGGAGAGGGGGAATCAGTAGAAGATGTGGTCAGAGATGGAAGCAGGGGCCATATATATCACATACAACTGTACAGGCCAGTGTAGGAGTTTGGATTTTTGTTATGGGTTGAATTGATACCCTCCACCCTGAAAAAATGATGTGTTAGCATCTTAACTCCCAGTACCTTAGAATGCGACTTATTTGGAAATAGGGTCTTCACAGAGGTAATCAAGTTAAAATGAGGTCATTTGGTGCACCCTAATCCAGTATGATTCATGTTTTTATAAAAGGGAGAATTTAGGGCATCAAGACAGATAAACACAGAGAGAAAATGATGTGCAGACACACAGAAAGAAGACAGCCATGTAATTGGAGTAATGCATCTACA